AATGATCGCAAAAAACATGATTGGGAACATCATGACCTTAGGGCTAATTTCGAGGCCCCCTCAGTCCTTGTAGGTAACTTGGAGCGAAAGAAGAAAAGAAAAGAAACAAGATTCAAAAAAGCTACATGTAGGGTATTCATTAAAGAGGGCAAGGATAAGGCTACAACAATGAAAGCTTTATATGCTCAGATTGTTGAATTGAAGGCCAAGTTGGCTCAACTGAGAGCAAAGGAGATGGCTTTGGTGGCCGATGTGGCCTCTACGAGGTCTCGGGTGCATGGAAAACTTGAAAACCTCTAGGTACTAGCGTCTTCAATCTCGATTGATAAAAAGGAACAATATAATTTGATTGAGAAGAGAGAAGCGGTCAGTCAAGCACTGTTCAGTTTAGGCTCCAATATGTTCTAGTCCTAGGTTCTCTGTCTTTACCATGTTCCTTATATATTTACATTTGTACTTTTGAAGCTTGTATTCTATTATCTTACTTATGTTGTTGGAACTTTTGATAAAACTTACGACCTTTACTTGGTCGTCTTTGTTGCATGGATCAGTGCCTTGGGCCATGACAAGGGAACTTTCGCTCCTGAGGAAGACAAACTTAGGAGTCCGCACCTAAAAGGATCAACTAAGATTGGTCCCCGAAATGGGAATGGTGGAAGATGACTGCTCAACTGAAGACGTGTGAGGACCAATGGACCTAAGCCCATGAACTATTTTCAAACAATGGATGATGCCGGTTGAATCTCCTACAAATAATTGAGGAGTCGGGTTAGTAGATATCTGGGTTGCCTATGCCCATAAGAAATTTCAGAGCCATCCTTTAATAATAATGGAACTCTATGAATAGTTTCCTCCTGTGATATGAGTTACAACTCCTTGATCACTTTACTACCCAAATATCTAAGATTAAGAGAGAGAGAGAGATAGTTTTAGAAAGCACACATTTTAACATAACTTGGAGGAAGGTTGGGATTTGATGATCCCTTATAAGGCCAAAACTCTCTATTTATAAGAGCATATAAAAAGACAATTTGATATAGTTATTACATATAGAAGAGATATAAGATCTATTTCTATCTAAAGACGTTACTAACAACAACCAATACTTTTTTAGTAGTATTTCATATTTACTATAAATTACTATTTAGGCTCTCACTTGACAATAAAAATGATACTTTTTGAATAGAGGAGATAAATAATTAACAAAGCTAAAACCAAATGATGAATCAAATATTTTATTAAAGAATAGGGATGTGGTAATAATTTCTAATAATACACAATAATATATTTTTTAGTAGTATTTCCATATTTTATTATAATTACTATTTAGGCTCTCACTTACAATAAAATGAATACCTTTTGGAATGAGAGAAATAAATAATATAACAAAGCTAAAACCAATATGATGATCAATATTTATATAAAGAATAGGGATGTGGTAATAATTTCTTAATAATACACAATATATATATCAATAATATACTATTATATATATATATATAATTTATATATATAATAAAAATAATATATATATATTATCATATATATATATAATATATATATAAAAGATAATGATATCAAATAGATCTATATATAAACGATAATGTATCAATAGGATAATACATGATACTCGATTTCTAAATAAATTCTAACCAACAAGTCATATAGGATTCCTACAATTCATATGCTACTATAATTATCTTTTCTTCAATATAAATATTCCAAATTTACTAAAAAAAAGGACTAATTCACAATTCTCTCGACACCCAATTTCTGAGAACGTAACAATTTCGACTAAAATTTAATAACTAAATAGTTAATTATCATGAATATTGAAATTAATTTTGAGCATTTACTTACAAATAAGTATTTAGACAACCTAATATCTGATAATCATTACCACTTCTTGATTTTCTCATGTCCGTACCTCAATTAATAATTAACTTAAAGCTAGAAATGGTCACTACTAACTTAATGAATTAAAGATTTAATTAAAAGAGAAAGCAACACAAAACTCAACAAACCAATCATCAAAAATCACTTCTTAAATTTTCTCATGTCAGTACCTCAATTAATGATTAACTTAAAGCTGAAAATGGTCATTCTTAACTTAGTTATTAAAAAATTTAGGTTCCATTGAAAAATATTTTTTGTTGATTTATTTTTCTGAACGCCTTTAAACAATGAAAAATTATGAAAAATAATTTAATAGAAAATATTTTTCTAGTCAAAGGAAAATTAAGTCTCATTTTCAACAGCGAAAAATGTTTTTTCAGATTTTAACAAATTTATTATAATATTATAAATTCATATTTTTTAATTATAAATTCATATTTTTTAATTTATTAATTATTGATAGTCACTATCACCACTCACCATTCACCACCAGCCACCACCGTCGGCCACTACCACTGGTCACCGATGACTTTCATAATTTATCATTTTTTAATTTACATTATTCTCATATTTAACAATTAAATTTTTAAGATACGAAATTTATATTATTATTATTATGGTCTTATAAATTAAAAATTTTAATATTTTTAACTAAGTTTCAATATTGTAACCAAATAAAGAAAAATAAATCATTTGGAAAATATTTTCTAAAAGTAAGTTATTTTTCGAAAAAAAAAGAGCCTTAATTATAACGAGAAGCAACATAAACTCAATCAATCAACTAAAGAAAATTCATACATCTCTGGAGTAAAAGCAATTAGTTTGTTTATGGCAGATGAACGAAACAAAGCAACTTGCATTAAATTGTAAAATATTGTTGATCCCAGTTACTTAAACAAAATGACCAAGCAATTGAATTGGAATAAAACCTAACCAGTATCTCTTTAACCTCCTCAATCCAAAGGCAAAAAAAAAAATAAATAAAAAAAAATAAATAAAAAACTAATTGGTCTTTACAAAAATAGAAGAATAAGAAGAAAACTCTTCTTTCCGATTAGCTCTTAATGGTGTGTTTATGATCTCACTCTTGGTGCTCTTCTTCTCTTTGTGATGAAAAATGAAGTATAAGTTCAGTCTGCCTGTGATATCTCGTCCTTCGACTCATTTTCACTCGTGGTACCTTAATTGTAGATCATATCACTTTATCATTTCTAAACTTCAATTCATCACTTAAAAATCCCTCGATTATTATTTAAGTAAACATAAAGATGTTTTTTTTTTTTTCAGTTTCCGATTGTCAGCCAATTAAAACTGACGTGGAGGGGCCTTGAAAATGTGTATTTCACAAATTCCAATCACTGAGACTCATCTTTTTTTTTTTCTCTCATTCTTTCACAGCTTCTTTTATCATTTCATTATGTGTATTTTTAATTAAGAAACAATTTTATTATTAAAGAATTATAACTTTATGATTTAATTATATGACTAATTTTATTGTGAGATAAATACTATAAAATTAAGAATAAGCATTAAAAATTAAAATTAAAATTTTACTAATCCTTCTTTTCAATTTATTTTTTATTTGTACAAGTATCCTTGCACTAAGATTGGTTACTTTTCTATTTTAGAAATATAATTAATTTCTTAGCACTCTAATATATTAATATTTAATTAACTTATTATTAATAATTTTTTATTCAATTCTTTATAGAAGTGATATCTATTATTAATATAGGGCCATATTACAAAAAAAATTTTTTATTCAATTCTTTATAGAAGTGATATCTATTATTAATATAGGGCCATATTACAAAAAATATAGATCAAATTAATTATTCAGATTATATTAATTAATTTTTTTATAGTTTTTGTGAAAATAGAAACACATTATTGGGGAATGGAGGGAATAAATAACACAACAAAATATTTTTAATTTCTTTTAGCAAATGTATTAATATTCTAAAATAAAGATTGTGAGAATATAAAAAATATTATATACTAAACTTAATTAATTAAAGTTTATTCTAAATTTTGATATTATATAATAGAAAAGGATAAATTAATTAAAAAAAAACATGACAGCTTATGTCAATTTTTTTATTCAATTATTAATTGTTTATTAATGTAGAATTTTTTATTCAATTATTTAATGAAAAAATCTGTTTATGTCAATTTTTGATTGACTTATGATTAAAAATTTTTAAGTGATAAATTGAATTCTAGTAACCGTAAAGTGATACGAGTATAGCTGAGGCAGGACAAGTGAAAATAAGCCGTCGTCCTTCCTTCCTATTAAGTATTAACGCTCCTTTCTAATAACTTTATTTGAAAATAAAAAAAGTGGACTATTGGGTTCAACACGGACGTGTTTGGTTGTGACACGAGCGTGGCGTGTCAAAACTATAGAGCTTAAGCCATGTGTTTTTACACGATCTTCAACATGGACATGTTGTAGGTCGTGTAGCCCCTTTGAAGTTGAGCTTCAATTTAACACAAGCATGTCTATCGCTTCATTGGACGGTGTTGAGTGGCAACACAAGGATTTCTCCAATCACAGACACTAACCAAATAAACCTAAAATTAGTATAACAAATAAAGTCACATCTGTCATTCTATTATTATTATGTTTATTTATTTCTCTAAAATTATTTTATACTTGAAGATGCTTTACGAAATTTAAATATAAATACCTAATCATTATTTGCACCCATTTTTTTTATCCAATACTGCCATTGTAGGTATAATGTGCAACAGTGAGAATTTGGCTAAAAAATTATATATTTCTATTAAAAAAAACTCTTCAACTCTTAATGGATTGACTTAATGTATGAATGAGTATACACGTGAAATGTAAATAACTCTTTCGATTAACTTTTTTGCTTTTAAGCAAAGCTTAGAAATTAAAATTTTTACTTTCTTTGTTTTTTTATATAATTTTTATCTTCTGATTTCTTCCTAAACTTCCAAGTTAAAATATACTTTTTAGAACTTACTTATAGTGCAATAATGATTCTTTTTATTTTATTTATTTTGAGAAAAGTGAACATTTTGATTTCTTTTAATGAAAATGCAGATAATGAAAGAAGATCCCAGGATTTTGTATCTTTTTTTAGGGGGAAAGAACAAAAGGAAACCAGTAATAAAAAACAAACACTGCCATATTGGCAATCAGTAACCGATTACAACAGATATTAGAATATTTACATGTAAGCAAAAACAAATATGAAGAAATCAACTTTTTTCTCTTAGCTCTGCAATGGGCACAAAAATAACAGAATCCTGATGTGATTTGTTTCTATTTGATTTCTTTGGTTTATCATTTTGCAATGTCAGCAATGTCTGCTTCATATTCAATAGCCTAACTTTAGCTCTACAGAGTCTCTCCATTTCAGCCTCTGCCTCTTCAGATTCCGACCTCCAAACAGAGTGTACCCTCTTCTTCCCTCTCTTTGTTTTTGATTTTAAAAGCTTCTTCAAGCTTACATCATCGCTGTACTCGACACCAATCTGAATATGATGATAACAGATAAGAGGAAGAAAGAAAGTTTTTTTAACGAGTTTAATGTCGCAATTAGGAAAAGTTTTACAAATAATGCTTCTACATAAAACTGTTGAATAAAAATCAGCTTACAAACCAAATGCTCATACCAAAACCAGGAGTAAATTATAGCTATAGAAGTAAAATAAATTTAACATACAATTAATTAATAAATTATGTTTTAAGCATATGTTTAATAAAATAAGTATTCATGGAAGTTAAAAGAAAAAAGAGTGAAGGCCTTGCTGTTTTAGGTGTATTGAGTAACATGCATCCGACATGCAAACCCAATTAACTGTATATGGTAGGAGTAGGTAATTTGAACAGCAATCAAATTTTAAATCTCAAATTTTCAATTCTTTCCATTGAAGCACAAGGCATTAGAAAAGCAAATGGTACTTCCGTTAATAACAAATTCAAAAGAGGTGGTCTCTGTGTGTGCATGTGTTTTTGTTTCCTCATGCAGACATGGTGCTAATAAATGGGCATACAGAAAGACTACAAGGCAGAGCTCTTTGGCCAGAAGGGAAAGATAAAGGCAGAAAATCTCACAGTATTTCAAAAAGGTGCCATATAAAGAAAACAACTTTGAGCCAGCAAATACCTCATTGCTTCTAGAAAGTGATCCAATGGAAGCTCTTGTCAGTTCATTTTTCTTCAGACTGCTGCTTATCAGCTTTGTTTCCTTCCCGTGGAGGACATGTTTTAAATTCTTCGAGGTGCATATCAGGGTTTCCGTTGAGATATTCTTTAAATCCTCAAGACCAGCAGATTCGTCCTCCATACCATCCAATCTGGGTTCCCGGGGTATTTTAGGATTAGAATGTTCTTTGAACCTCTCTCCCTGCAAGATAACGAAGAAGCTTAAACATAATGCAAGATTCACTAATTTCAGTACAACCGATAAATTCAAAATTAGGTAAAAACAAGTAGAGCAAATATAATATTCATTCATCACAACTAGAGAATAGTTTGTCTTATACTAATATTTACAACTTAAAATACTCGAATAAAAGAAAATGGATAGCAAAAGTAAAAATAAAAGGTAGCCATGAACTCTAAGCAATATGTAGTAACAAATGGTAACATTTGTATTTAATGAATGTAGCAACAGCTTACCTTCCTGGTTTTTAGAGCCAAATATCGTGCATTCTTAAACCATTTGCTGACCTGAAATTGCAGTTCAGAATGTCAAAGGTGGACTGCGGAGAATACAGAGACATGTACTGAAAAACTTTGAGTTGGAATCAAGTCCACAACACATTAGGATTGCCCTTTGTTTTCCTCATGTGCCAAGGGACACAGTTTGAGGGGGAATAACATTTTTTATTGGATTATAACTTCAGCATTTTATTTCACTGTTTAAGGCATCATTCTGGTAAGTGTATAGATTTGATTGGTTAAATTCTTAGACATAGATTTGATAGGTTAAGGTCATACCTTCCCAGGATCAAGACCCAATTCTTTTGAAAGGTTTTCCTTGACAGTTTTAGAGGGAAGTTCATTCTCTTGAAAAACCTGGCGAAGTTTCTGACAATGCACATAAAAAGGAAAGAATGAGCTCTGACCCAAATTTTTTATTTGGCAAAAATTCAGAAACAAGTAGCCAAACAAGATGTTTGGGAGCACCATAACACTCTACCTCAACTGCAGAGGTCGGGATTCTGAAACATGGCCTTCTAACTTGTGCGTCTCGGGCAAGTTTCCCTGTCACTTCATTGGTTTTGACTTTTTTACTTTTTTTCTCACTTTCATACAGTGTCATAAGTGTGCTGGCTGCATCCGATTCCTTTTCTCTCCGCTTTCTTTTGCCAGGACCCCAGTCTTCATCTTCACTAAATTGTTCATATGCTGGAGCATCCTTTCCAAACATCTCCTATTAGGAGAAAAATCATGAGATTAGAAAAAGGAGTCTGAATTGCCAATGAATAGATTGCTACAAAAATAAAATATAGAAGTATCCATCATTAGTTTCCATGACAAAATTCAAAAAGTTGAATTGATACGTTCTGGAACTTCTTTTACTGTAAAACCATTCAATCATGAAAGGTGGGCTTGAGAGCTACGTCATGACTAAACAATAAAAACTTAAGCTTCAATATACATAAGAGCACCCAGTTGTAGATACCTGCAGTTTGTTATACCCTTGGTAGTGAAGATGAAGAGGATGTTAATTGGACCAAAATCAATATAGTATATGGCAACAAGTGATGAACAGTGAAGAAACAACATGCACAGAAGAATAGCATAACAGTAATGAGAACAATGAAATGCATGTGCAGAAATGAAAGGTGGGCTTGTGAGCTACTTCATGACAATACAATAAGAACTTAAGCTTCAATATAAATAACAGCACTCAGTTATAGATACCTGCAGTCTGTTATACCCTAATGAGAATATGAAATGCATGTGCAGAAATACAAAGATAGATTGGATGCGAATGATTGCTTGTGTCAGATACGTTCATTGTGGATCACCACATGCATTGGCAAAGTTGAAAAATTGAAATTGTCGGATAAAGGAAAGTAATGGGCAGACCTTGGATGACATGGAGACTAGTGAAAAAAAAAAAAAAAAAAAAAAAAAGTGAAAAAACAAAAAAAAAAAAAAAAAAGCCATAGATCTTTGAAAAGATCTAAGCTGTAAGCAAGATGGAATAAAGGTAGATGAAATCCAATATTAGCTTAGTTTTGACCATTTCCCAAAAAAAAAAAAAAAAAAAAAAAAAAAGACCATAGATCTTTGAAAAGATCTAGCTGTAAGCAAGATGGAATAAGGTAATGAAATCCATATAGCTTAGTTTGACCATTTCCAGAATTACTAATTGGTTAAGTACAAATAACAACACCAAATTATCCTTTTTAACATGCCATAAGAAAAGCATAGAGACCAAAATGTTTACATGGGTACGTCTGGACTCTTCCATCAACTGTGCGTCTTTCAGTTTTACAGAAAATCGGCCAAATAAATGTTTGGTTTCAAGAATTTGAGTACTCACATCATATAACTTCTTATAGTCAACTGCTCTTCGCTGTCTACGGCCAGACATAATTTCCCCGTCACTGGTTTCATCAGAATCTAAACTGCTATAAATAGATTGATTTCTAAAATCTGTGTTATCTATCTCCCACTTCCTGGATCCTGAAAAAACTTCACCATCTGAAGACCAACCCAAGCTGGTTGCACTGCTAGAATCATCACAGGCATCATTATCAGTGCCCGCTCCACTGATGCTGTTCTCCCTTCTTTCAGGGTCATAGTCATCATCTTCAGAATCATCCGAAGGCCATTCTTCTTCCGGATTTAGCAATGTACTTCCACCATCAGGAAAAGTTGCTTCTTTGAAAATATCCTATTTCAAGAAAAAAGACTACCATTATTTCGGGGAATAAAGATATTAAGTCTTTTTTCCTTTACATCATAGTTTTTCAGAAAGAAAAGTTCTAGAAGATTAACGATAACCTGCCAACAGCTATTCACTGGGAATTGGGTCCCTAGATGTGCATTCATGCTTTCAATAATTTCCATCCTACATTCACAAAATTTGCAATACCATCCCTGATCTCCTGGTGGTACTGAAAATATCAAATAAATCAAGAGTCTTAAGAAGATGCCATTTGTTTCACATCTCAGAAGAACAAATTCTAAAGAAAACAACTTACTGTTTTCAGTGTCCAGCGGAGGATCAAGGCATCTTTGGTGGAAGGCACAGTTACATGTCCCATCACAAAGTACAATATCGTTATCTGGGAAAACTTCATTGGATTTGCACTTTGCACAGAATATCTAGATATGAAAAAGTACAATGGAAATATTAATATACATGTGTTATCAAGCAAACAAGATCCTTGTATCTGTATACAAGTTGGCCCTTTATGGCTTTATGCCCTGACATTTGAGAAGTTAGAAAGTCTAAAATTTGATGATGCCATGATGAACATCATCTATGCTGTCAGATTTAAAATAATTACACTTTAAATTCGCCTAAAAAATAACTTTATTGTCCTCGTGCAAAAATAACTTCATCATCCTCGTGCTTTGGAACCAATTTCATGACCTAGTTATTGAGTGGCAGCTCTTCAAGCTTGTCAAAAGTGAGAAGATATCAGTTAGTGAAGGCAACCCCAGTTATCCGTCTCTGTTGAAATTGTAATGATGCTTGAATTCTTTAAGCTTCTATGTTTTTATTGAAAGCAATTCTTCTTTAGGGTTATATATTCCGATAACTAATACTAGTCATGGATGCTTACATGTTCATGGGAAACAGATCCATCTGGTGCAATAACTGAGTCTTCAATACACCCTACTGTACTAAGCGAATCAAGCTGGTGAATTATGTCGCGAATTCCAAGCTTACACTTCAAAATCTGCTTCTTTGCTCTTACAAGTTCCTTTTCTGGCCTGATCTTCTCTCGACTGTGTTAAAATTAAGGAATAAGTCAATAATGTCAAAGTAAGCTTTTTTCCATAAGAAATTTCCATCGAACTTCCATTCCCTGGCACTTTTATGTTCATTTTTCCGTCATTTATGAGCTCCTAAGGTTCAATTAGTTCACAGATTAAAACACCATGTATTTGAAGTAGATATTTAATTGATAGTTCATCTAAATGCATACTATGTACAATTTTGAGTAACACAGAATCTCCTAGAGTAGGTGCAATAGAAACACTTCATAGTTTTAAAGCAGATAAAATTCAAACAAAAAGTTGTTCAAAATACATGGTCAAAGGACATCAAAAAATGGTCAATCTTTCTAAATGTTTTAAATACCAATTTCTTATTATATGTCCTCATTAACCCTTAGTTCAACCATAAATCAGCAAAAAATTTTCAGTTGTACAGAGGCACAATATGTTGGTAAAGTCAAAGGGCAACAAAAACCAGAATAAGCAGAATAAGACACAACAGGTCCTTTAAACATGATTGTCCACATAAAACTTCTGCCCTCATTTTTATTATTTTTACTAAGGATTAATATTTAAGATAAAGCATGGATTGCTATATTATCTCAAAATATCTGACTGCTGCACTTAAATACCGTTTCCATCCTCTTTCTCCAGAATCTTGTATTATTTGATTACCATCTCCATTACTAACATTTAGCAACAGTTTTCAATGTTATATTGCATGCTACATTGTGGTTCACAAATCCTTCACAGCATAACTTGAAAATCTTGATAATACGGTACTTTGAGAGGTACCTTCTCTGCTAAAAGCATTATAAATCCTCAATGTACTGCCTCTTGAAAACATGAACAGAAACATACTGCTAGTATGATTCCGATTTAGACCAGAACATCTTTATAGTATTTCAAATAGCTTTAAATTTGGTAGCATGGTTAAAGAACATATTCTCCTAATATTCTGTGTAAAAAGAACAAGGAGAGCGGGAATTAGAGTTCTCTAGATTAACCACTTCACTAAAACAAGATTTAAGAAACTGCAAGTATCAAAATAGCGATAGTTTAAGCCAGTCATATGCAACATTTTCTTTTAACTTAACTTTAAACAGAATACTTAAATCAAATGTTTCTTACTGCAATTGTTGTTATCAAAAACACACTTTCCAGGAATTTCAAGAAATCAAAGGCTTTAGTAAGAAGGTCTTCCATTTTCTTCAAATGGAATTATGTGTTCAAAAGTTCCATACCTCTGACCCTTCCAGCCTTCACCAGAATAAGCATCTATAAGATTCTGTTCCAGCTTCATTTTAATCAGCAGGTACCTTGCTCTCCTCTGCAAGCGTGATGGTTCATCTTGCTCCACCTTTCCCTTTTGTCTCCTCTTACTCTTCGTTTTCTTAAGCTTTTTAATGGTGACATCTCGGTTGGGTTTTTTCCCATTCTTAGAAGCAATAGCTGTTGAATGTTTCCCTCGTGACTCTGAAGAAGCCATCTTCTTTGGGGACTTCTTGTCACGAGCTTTTTTCAAGATTTTTTTACTAATCCTTTTTTTACTTGTAGAATCACTCCTAACCCCCTTGCTCAAAGCGTCAATGTGTGTCCTCTTCACCAAATTTGCACCAATTGATTTTATTTTAGATTTAGATTGTTGTCTATGTTTTTTGCAAGGAGATGATGCACCATCTTTTTTTATCTTTAGTGATGCAATTAGCATAGAACCATTATTTGTCTTTGACAATAAAGATCTGCCAGATTCTTTAAGTGTGGCTTCCTTTTCAGCACCCCGCATATTGATCTGTGAGGTGTGAAATTTAAATGTGAACAAAAAAATTAGAATGCACATCAAACTAAATACATTCAACCACTTACAAGCAAGAAACAAACTCAACATTCTCAAACAAATAAAAGATTAAAAATAAAAAGCATAATTCAAGATTAGCAATTTTTTAGCTTTGGTTCCAACCCCAGCCAATGCAAAATAAATTTTGCATAAATCAACTTTCAGAAAAGTTAAGGAATTTGGACCTGCATTTAAAATTCAAAAGAAAATTTGTTCATTAGCGTACAAAATTTAAGAGTGAAGTCCTACATCACTAAAATGCAAAGAGAGATTTCTTTGATTCTAAACCCACAAGCGGCTACAAAAGCAAACAATAAATATGCATATCTGAATTGAACAAATAACAAATAGAAAATTGCTTCAATTAGGAAGAAAGGAGGGAATTATTTCCAGTGGAGAAAAAAAAAATGAACAAATTGAGAAAGAAAAAACCGTGATTATAAGTTAAAGAAAAATGAAAAGAATCTAAAATGCAATGAATTTACTCTTCAAGAATCATTTGAAACCCATGAAAATTCATGAAAGAATTTATTCAATAAAGACAAAAAGTAATTACTGAAAGTTCAATGTCAATATGGGAAAGTTCAATTGAAACAAGAAAAGCTTGATTAGCCATGATCACAGGAAAAACTACTAAGAAGTAATCCAAAACATGCGAATAAAGGATCAAACTTTATGATCGCAAACCGCAATTCCACAAGCAGGCGGCTATTACAAACCCAAAGGCCTTAAAATAAACATTAAAACGAAAGCGAACAAAAAAGATATGAAGCAAAACAAATCAAAGATTGAGCTCAAACTCAATAAAATCAAAATATCAAAGAAAAGGGTACCTGAGAAATGAGAGAAAGAGACTGAGAAGATCTTGAAATTGAAGAGTTGTGTAGCTGCACTATGAAATGCTCCGTCGATGGTGTATAGTATATGTATGTATATGTATGTATACGTATAGGTGATTTTTTTGGGGTTAAAAAATGGCTCCAAATTTTTGAAATTGAAGTAGTACTAAAGACGACGAAGAAGAAGAAGAAGAAGAAGAAGATTGAATGATTTGACAAAAGGCTGTGGCTGTTTTCGAAGCGCCACCCAACGGTTTTGCTGCTCGTAATTCGTAAATCATAATGGGAATAATTTGCCCGATAATTTTTTTAAAAAAGAAAAAATATGCCCGATAATATTAATTCATCATTAATTAAAAGTAATTTAAACTTTGAACTCTTTTTAAATTAGTTTCTCCGCTATTATTATTTAAATATAAATATTTCAAAATTTTTATTTCTTTTGCAGAAAAGATCCAGTATGATGGAATGGCACTGTGATTGTGCATACAATTTTCTTTTCAAGTGAAGAAAAAAACAAATCATTGTGCATACACTCGATGAGATAGTAATAAAGAATAGGATAGTAGAGCAACATACGGAATAACAAAATCCATCCTTGAGTTATAGACAAATTATTACACGCATACCAAAGTGTAATTTAATATTAAATATATATATGATTTGGTAATAGGTCCAGTTTTATATGAAAAATATCAAATAATGTGTGGTTAATATGATATTTGGAATAATATTTTTCATATTTTTCATTTATCCAATAAGTACTCAATCGATTTAATTTTATAAGTTCAAGTGTTCGATAGAATAATTTTTGCAAATTAAAGTATTAAATAAGTATAGTTTTATAAGTTAAAATGTTCAATAGGTCAAAGTAAAAGTTGAAAGTGTCACAGAATTTTTCATATATAGTACAAGAGTAAATTTATGTATTAAGCCAAAAACTTTTATTTCCAAAAACTAATTATAATGCCTCTAAATTATGATTTTATCAACATTTTGATCTTTCCATCCAAAAGAAATGGACTTGATATATTGTTTCAGCCTGAACTTTATATTTTGATACAATTTTATTCCAATTTCACCTTTATGTCGACTTTACTCTGAACTTTAACATTTTACTGCAATTTCACTGTAATTTGATCCTTATACTAATTTCACCATGAACTTTGACTTTTTTTGTTACAATAGCACCCTAAATCATAATTAACACTTAAATTGTAAATAAAGAATAGGTACACTCTTGACGGACTTGGATTTTTTATACATTTGTATGAGTGATGGAGTTTGGATTAATAATATGCACAATCTCTATTATTACTTTTAATATTTTAAATTGTTTCTTTAATTGATAAATAAATAATATAACTATGCACTAGGGCCCAGGTAAGCTTAAGGCCTCCGAGGCCCATAGTAAACCTGAATCACTAAAATTTCACTTTCTCAATATAAATTTCAAACATTCAGCCCATATTGACTAAAATTTCACTTTCTCAATATAAATTTCAAACATTCAGCCCATATAACTATGCAAAACAAGTCTCGTAATTATATTATATCTCGGCCTAAATTTAACATCTTAAACATTTCAAGATCAGGCCCAATTTACAATATATCTCTTTTATGATATGAGCTCATAGAATTATTTCTTCTATATTAATACAAGACTAAAAGTTTATAAATTCTACAATTGCGGAGTTCACAAGCAGATAGATTCTTGTACATATGACTACATAATTTAAATAATTGCTAACTCTAAAATTTATTTTCTAGCTCTGCGAGGAAAGAGACAGAGCTTTAACTGGGTTTAGAAGAATCTACTTCCTGAAATACTTCCCTGAAAGGTTAAACAGAAAAGACATGTGAATTAATGAATAATAGTTATTGCACAACACATGCATTCACACAAACGTGCAAATGTTTCAATCTAGTCATCCGACTAGTTATATGCTCACGCAGACAACCACACAAATGACATCACAACAACACTCACAATTATTAACATCTTCACATAATCACATCACATGGAAATTAGTCAGTGGCGTCATCGAAACTCCCAATGAGCCGTCCTCCCTCATGGCTCATCCTCTCATAACGTGTGCACCAGGGAACCGATCCCCATATATAGCCGACCGATCTAATCCTCACTTGATCAGCCCTCTCATTGTTTTTCTATTCTTTCTTTCTTTTTCATACCAACAGGAGGTTCTTTTTCATACCAACAGGAGGCCACCCTGTGGTTTATCCATATTATCCATATCATATCATCAGGTGCACACGGGGGCGCCGATCTTCCATATGGCCAACGGTCTCGTAGACTGCCCTCACAAACCCATGGTGACCCACTTCATCCCAACTCCACACAAACAATGCATTACCATTATCACATCACAATTAATCAAACACTTCAATTAAATACAAGCATAACAAACAACTAAAGATCATGATGCAAGTACACAATTAGACATTTACATTCAATTATAATTAAGTAAATGTGAATACTCAAATTTTGAGGTTCAAAAGGTCTGTTTTTCCGGACTACAAACAATCCAGCCGGACCGGAGGCCGTTCGGAAAGTTCACCGAAAGTATGCCAATATGGTACTTGAAACGTCCGGAAAATTACGAGGATCGCAGAACTGGCCCCGGAATAACTGGCCCCGGAATATTTTCTTGGAGGTACGGAACTCCGAAAAAGCCTTCGGAACGAAAAACTAGAAAGTGGACCAAGCCACGCGGCGGCGGCAGAGGCCCACTGGACACGGCGGCAGAGGCCACCCGGTCCAGGGCGGCGGCGGCCGCCGGCTAGGGCGACGCAGGCGCCGGCCAGGGAGGTGGCTGCCCGCCTTCTCTTACGGGACATCTGCAGCCCTCCCGCGGCGGCAGCTGCCGCCCTCCAGCCCGGGTTTTTCCCTATAAATACAACCCCGATCGACAGTTTTACTCACTCAGTTGTGTTGACGGTACGCTCTCTTCTCCCTCGCTCCTTGCGGTTCTTTTAACTCTGCTTTCTGCATTTAGTGTAGGATTTTTTATTACTCTGCTGTTGGATATTTGGCCACTTAACATAAATTAATTTTAATTAACTATTCCCAACCAAACGAGGAGCTTAATCTGGAATTTTCAAGCTGAAGCTAAGAAGCGGCCGTCGATTAACTCAGGTAATAAACGAAACTCTGCCTGTTTAATTTCATCATAATTTGCATAATTTTTCTTCTACTACAATTCTGAATTAAACTGCTGCATAAATGCATTCACGTCATCGATTTGGCAAATAAACTGCCTCAATTAAATAGATTAAGCTTAAATACCCGGTTAATTAATAATCGTGGTGTTAAAGCCTAAATCCAACAATATTGACTAAAGTATCTAGTCAATTAATGACTATGGTATAATTGCCTTTATTTCGAACAGTACGGCTTAAGTCCAATTAATCAATAATTGTGTGTGGCTAAAATAGCCTTAGATTAAATCACGTTTTTTGGCAATAATTTCCCTATATTGCAATTCAATTGATCACTTTTTGGCAAACATTGCCTATAAGTAGAATGTAATCATTTTAGCGACAAATCGCTTAAATTGAAGCTTTGGCAAAATGCCTGAATTAAATCAATCTTTTGGCTAAAAGCCTTAAATCAACCATTTAGGCGACAATCGCCAATCAACACTTTTGGCTAACAAATTGCCCTAAACTCAACTCATTTTTGGCTAAAAGCCTTAAATAATGCAATTTTCTTGGCAAACAATCGCCTATCCATCAATTTTTGGCAAAAAATTTGCCTAAATCAATCTTTTTGGCTAAAAGCCTTAAATCAACATTTTTTGGTGCACAACGCCAATCAAATCAATCCAATTCTTTGGCAAAATACCTAAAGCAAAATGCAACAAGCATAACAACAACTCATGCATTAAGCATAACAACCATTCAAAGCCCCTTTAAAAAAGGCGCTATCGAACTAACGTCGACTTTGATCTTCCCATTCAAACGGAAGTACGTAGGCACGTTCGGGATTACCCCGCGGCAGCAGGTCGAAATCACTTAAACATTTTCATTGGTCCAATTCATCATTTACCCTGCAAGCCATTCCATTCCAATCGATTAAGTTTTTCATACAGCATGAACATAGTCTCGGGATGCCACTTCGGGTTCGAAGATGGGTGCCTTAAACATTGGGATAATTATCTAGTAATTAGGTTAATTAAAATTGGAGTCAACTTTAGGGTTTTTTCCTAGTTTACCTAAATAATTAAAACAAGGTGGCAGACATCACACATTCACGTGCATTTCTTTCTGCCCTTAGTCATATGCATTATATGGCCTATTTTCGGGGGAGGGGTTTCACAGTTTGGCGACTTTCCACTGGGGAATTATGTAATGGTTTTTACATAAAGTGGACTACAAATGTTGTGTTAAACTACTCTGTCCTTCTTTAAGGGTATTCATTTTTACTATGCTTTGTTTTGGCAGGGTAAACCCCCAACAAAGATTAAGTATTCTTTCTTTAAGATGCTTTAATAGGAGAAATTTGGACCCCTAATTTGAAATTTACTTTAAATTCATTTAAATTTGTTTATTTAATCTTGCACGAATTGAGAATCTTTTTTCCATTGCATAAAAAAACCGAATTTCAAAAAATGAATTTCTTCTCTTCTCTTGGCAGCCAACAGCGTCCTCACCTGTTTCGCAAACCATCCCTAATCCTTTTGGGGGTGGCCCATGAGTAATTGCGTACTATTGGACATGACCCACGCGAAACTCTTTGTTTCACATGTGGTTAGGTATATCCTTACTCAAGGTTCAAGGGTCCCTTAATGAGCCCATTCTCTATTTGTGTCATAGCCTATAGAACGCTATCCTTTAGGGGTTTTGTATACAACCCAATGAATGCGATCCATATCATTAAGACCGAATTATGACGTGATTTGTGCGCATTCATGACATATCATCCAACATTAAAAAGAACATAAATATCTTTTTTTTTTAGTCATGCACAACTGGACAAAAGAGTCGATCTACTTCAGCTACCCTGATACAGAATACTACCCACTGTACCCTAATCCAGCTACCTTTATCGTATCAGGTACCCACTGTTCGAGTGCCTATCCAAGATCCAGTCACACCTACAGTGCTATTACCAACCTCACCAGCTTCACCAACCTCACCAGCTTCACCAACTTCAACTGCACCAATGGCATCACTAGTTGACATCCAAAATCTCATAGAGCAACTGGAAGCCAGAATGGAGGCTAGAATGAATGAGGCATTAGCTGCCCAGAGAACTGCCCTAATAGCTGAACACTAGGTAGTGGTATGGAAATGGGGCTTCAGCTGGAGGGAAGTGGATCTCAGCCTCCAATCAGG